TGGAGAAACAAAGAAAGCATTATCTTCCGTTGTCGATGTCTTACTTGTTCTTCGAATATTTTCGGGGGAAAAAAGCACACAAGCAAACACTATACTATACATTATATTCGGTAACTAGTTGAAACATATGTTTCCCTCGGTAACTTCCATTTTCCCGTTAGGAGGCTCTGCTGTGGGGTCGTTGCGTGACCACATGGAACCCGCAATTACCGATAATCACTTTCCTCATTATCGATAGATAGACATAAACGTCAATGATATAATGTAGGCCCATGACAAGTCGTTCATTTTTCAATTCGTCATTTTCCATACCAATGACATAGGCCTAAATATACAATCACATCCGCATTGTGTGTCATCAAATCTGAGCATTTGTTTTATCACTAAGTTAACTAATGGACAATCGCAGCTTTAATATAACCATAACAATTTGCCTTATTTGGAGAAACAAAGAAAGCATTATCTTCCGTTGTCGATGTCTTACTTGTTCTTCGAATATTTTCGGGGGAAAAAAGCACACAAACAAACAAACACTATACTATACATTATATTCGGTAACTAGTTGAAACATATGTTTCCCTCGGTAACTTCCATTTTCCCGTTAGGAGGCTCTGCTGTGGGGTCGTTGCGTGACCACATGGAACCCGCGAATTGATCACGGTTTCGATATTTTACTCTTACACGTACCCCGTGGCAATGTCCACACGCTGTGGCATAGAGGCAGATCGCTGACTAAGGCTGGGCCCTATGTAACATAAGGACCGAGGCTGCGCAGAGCGCAACAGTGGAATATTGGCCAAACCCCGTCCACTCCGGCGGCTTGGGCTTGCTCCTGATAGAAAAAAAATCCGATTAATATTCCATGGTCCGTTAAGGTTCGAGCCCCTGGTTTTCGCTATTGAGAGCTCATGTATGTACTGAACGAGTCCACTTCCCTGTATCCACCGTCACATTGAATGCGTGACAGTCTCGGGTTCGAATCCTTATGGAGCCAATAATGATGTGGGAGGTGTGTACTTGTGTATTAGTACATATGCGTCATTTAATCCAGTAGTCGTTACATTCTGTTATTTTGTGATTAACCAGGAAATTCAATCCTCAACTAAAAAAAACCCATTATGACCTGTACCGTACTTTCCAAACAATAGGACAGAGTACTTATTTGTAAAAATAAAGCTGAATCATGATCGGTTGTAATAATAATACTTAGGGTGACTAAATTCCATATACAATCACGGCCTTGATGGGGCTAAGAAGTCTGTCTACGATTTATTACAAGCATGGTCTGCCACCTGCAGTGCATTCCCATTACAGGGAATTGGGTCGAATCCTGGTGGTCTCATCTTGTTTTTTGCTTTTCTTAAAATAATTACTCATCAAGACAAGCATTGAGATTTATTATTATGAAAATATAGTTTTAATAGTTTACAATCATAATCAGATCATTGCGATTGTGCTTATCGCCGATTGATGTGGATTGACAACCCGGACATGAACTGGACAGAATCATTCATCTGATGGTTGTCGAATTGTAATCACTACGCATGCTTAGTGTAATGATAGCTACCAATGAGTCACCATGCTGTAAGTCCGCAATCCTTGGTTATAACATAATCTCTTATGATTTGCAATGTATTGATTAAACCAAACTTCAACCGGACATAGCAGCTTTATCTGTCAGATTCAACATAATATGTTTTATCAGACTTCGCATAATAGTGCGTATTGTTTCAAGCAGGCATACGACTTAAAATTGTATATTTCTATGTTAAAAAGTCGTGCAATGCTCTAGGCCTACTAAATTAATTTTATCAAATATCAACAGCGAGTCTAATAAAACAATGGGGGCGGCAGGATTCCCATGGTCGTGGAGGGGAGAGGTCGGTGTCTCCGATGGGAGAGTGCTCAGGGGCAGGGCCCATAACCTATGGCGACTCAGATTTGAAATTCATACGGTATTTAATCGATTTTAGAGTCTCGTAATCTTTTTTCTCTCCCGACCATTTTTGCTAAGCTTCTGAAGAGGGTGGGGAAATTTCTCCCCTACGATTCTCCATTAGTTAACTTAGTGATAAAACAAATGCTCAGATTTGATGACACACAATGCGGATGTGATTGTATATTTAGGCCTATGTCATTGGTATGGAAAATGACGAATTGAAAAATGAACGACTTGTCATGGGCCTACATTATATCATTGACGTTTATGTCTATCTATCGATAATGAGGAAAGTGATTATCGGTAATTGCTAAATAGCTGGACCGGTGTTTATCTCATAGTTGCCATAGATTATAAAATTAGTAAAAGGTGATTGGCATAGACCTATGCATAATGATATTTTATTTTTCAATTTATTGCGACTCACAAAAAGAACATCACAAAGCATCAGACACAAAAAGGAGCAGATGCAAAAGGACTGGTTCCACAAACAGGTTTTCACTTAGAAAACGCCCTGGACGAAAAACAAATAAAATATAACTTAAAAACACACACACAAATTCTCGTATATCTCTCTTTCCATCATACACACACTGTATATATA